TTCAAATGGTATCGGGAACAATTTGGAGTGTTTGAATTTTGGAATAGTCAGACTCTCCAAATTATTCCAGCAGCCGAGTAGTCAAATTTTCAAACTTTTCAAATTACTCTAATACGCCAATAAATCAATATTTCTGGTTTTCTAATTCGAAAATTACGGTTTTCAAGTAACTAAAACATCACATTTTCAAGTAGCTCGACTATTTGAATGAGAAAAATTTCGAATCATTCGAATATTCGCGGAAAAAAATTGCTTGAATACTAAAGTATGTCGATCGCAGGTACTCGGCAGTTAACTAGGGGGTAATCGAGTATCTACCAAGAGTTTAGCTGGTACAAACGGCGACTAGTCGTGGTATGATGGAGCGTGGCTTCGACTGGGGAGCATCGGAGGTTAAAGACACCACCCACGGAACAAACTGATTCTGAGATTTTTGCATTTTTTCCATACTAGCCACATAGGTTACCCAAAGCCAAAATAAGAAAGTATAAAAATTATAATAAAACTCACCGACAAAATATCGAGGACGTGCCCACCCCGATTATCCATATTACGGGGGGTGAGCGTACGAGTTTTCAGTGGAGTAGCGCGTCGAAGAAGTAAGCTTTGGTGCAACCACATCAAAAGTGCGTCATTATGCAGACGCCCAACCCCAGAAACTGCAAAAATTCTTACGTGGGCCTCCGTAGAGTAACGCGCTTTTGGTGTGATTACACCAAAGCGTACTTGTTCGGCGCGCAATTCCATGGAAGACTCGTTCGCTCATCCCCGTAACTTGGATAAGCGGGATGGGCGCGTTTTCGACATTTCCTCGGTTAGTTTTAACTTTTGTACTTTCTTACGTTGACTTGGAGCAATCTATGCGGCTACTGTGCGGAAAAATGCATTAATCTCAAAATCGATTTTTCCGGTGGGTGCTGCCTCTAACCCGGTTACGTATACCTTTATTTTATCTTATTTAAATTTAAAATGCACATGTGGCTTTCTTATTAGCTTACATGTGTAATAGTAGGAATTTTATAAATACAAACTTTACAAATACATAGTTAGCAGTGGAGACTGTAGAAAATGTACATAAAATTTTTAAAAAAAGCAAAACGTGTAATAAAATACAAGGATAAAAATGCTGGACATGATTGGAAATGTATATCAAAGCATAAAAATATTATAAATAACTTTTCAAGCAAGAAATTATCATAATTTTCAATTTTGGGCATTTTTTGAGGCAAATTTTGTGCATTTAGACTAAAAATGAATATCCCACTGTGTTTTTCCTGCCCACTGCGAATGTTCCACCTTCAGACTTTCTCCACCCATGTGACTTGCGTCAGTCTAAGCAACCGAATCCGTGATCGCTTATCAGCTGGTGTTCGATCAGAAGCCAGTTAGCGCGAGCGCTGAACAAAAGCCTCCGCTTCTCAAATAATCCGCTTTTCCGTAAAAAACGCCCAGATGGCAGTGATAGCGCGGACGACGCCCTTGCTGGGGATAGCCGCGCGCGTTCGGCGAACTTTCGCCGGACGCGCGGCTGTAATGTCTAGCGCGTCGACCTTGTTCACTTTTTAAAGCACGCCGTGCTAGCAGACGAAGAAACAATCTACTTAGCCGCCGGAAAACTCGTATTTCAAATCAAGACTGTGCGAAAAAACGAGAAAGAGAGAAATGAGTCAGAAAAAACGTGACGAGTGCGAAGAACTTGACCTTGGGTAAAGTACGAGAAGTCCGCAGAGATGGAAAGGAAAATTTCTGGAGAAAACAATGTTCAGAAATCAGAACTCGAAAAATGGGGAGATTTAGCGTGCCATTTCCATTTCTGAAGACTTTCCCTGTGGGACCTTAAAAGCAGCACCCACGGAAAAAATCGATTTTGAGATTTTTGCATTTTTTCTACCCTACCCACGCGGGTTGCCCAAAGCCAAAGTAAAAAGCACAAAAGTTAAAACTCGCCGAGAAAATGTCGAAAACGCGCTCAACCCGCTTATCCAAGTTACTGGGGTGAGCGGACGAGTTTACATAGACTTGCGCGTCGAAGAAGTATGCTTTGGTGCAACTACACCAACTATGGAGACATAAATAAGAATTTCTGCCGATTCTGCCGTTGGACCTTCTTAGAGTGACGCGTTGTTGGTGTAATTACACCAAAACGTACTTCTTCGAAGCGCACGTCCACGGGAAACTCGTCCGCTCACCCCTGTAACTGGGATAAACGGGATGGGCACGTTTTCGACATGTTCTCGGTGAGTTTTAACTTTCGTACTTTCTTACTTTGATTTTGTGCAACCTGTGCGGCTAGGATACAAAAAAAGCGCAAAAAATCTCAAAATCGATTTTTTCCTCGGATGCTGCCTTTAGAACAACAGTTTCTTAAACATAAATAAAAGAACAATAATCATATTAATTAAAATTAATTTAAAATGAAAGAAATCGGTCTGAAATCCAAATGCAAAACGTTGCGTCCTAAGAAGGAGTCGAACCCTCGACCTCAACCATACTAGTCCAGAACGCTAACCACTACACCTTCCAGAGAACCTGGTCCTACCCAATCTCCTTAAGTAGAGCCCAGATTTTTTCGCAATTCCAACCAACAGCATCTGTACTAGATACCCTATTTTTCGCGGACTATGACTAGTGAGGTGGGCGGGGTACCAAACTTGCTTTGGACTAGAAAAGGAGTCCAAAGCAACTTGAAAAGCCAAGAAGCGTGTCGAAACGAAAAGCACGGATCAACATTACGCTAGTTACCCGTGTTTTAACCTGTTTAAATGCGGCTGGCATCCCCTTTGGTGCCTGGCCCCGCCCACTTCACAAGTCATAGTCCGTGAAAAACAGAGTATGCAATATTCATACCTCGCTTTCTTTTATCGTAAGATTTCAAGGAGCTTTCGATTTTACCACCAAAACGAATGCACTACTTTATCAGGAACCTCTTTTCTTCGGAAACTCAATCTTTAAAATAATCATAAGAAATGGCACCAGTGAGTTCAATTTGAATCAAGGGCGATTGGTGCGGCTCAAGAGGTTGGATGCACAACTCTGATTGGTCGGTTTTTTCAGTGCGGGCGATGCCGAAACTTCCGGAGTCTCCGAAGTCGTGTTGTTAATGTGTGAAGCTTTAAATGTTGTTAAAGCTCATACTCCAATATGGCTGGCGGCTCTGAAAGATGTCGCACACACCATCGCATCGCTGCGCGATCTGCGACGCGGCGTACTTCCTCGCTTGCGGACGAGTTTACTACAGTGAGCGGGTTCTCACCAGCGAATGAATTGTGACAGACAGCCTGTATCTAATTATTCAGATTGAATACAAATGACTGCTTCAGTATTAGCAGCTGACATTTTGCTGCACCAAAGCAGACCGAAAACCAAAGTGTGAGGGGGGGGGGGAAGGCTGTAGGCACGATTTTAGCAATTGGCATTATAGTGGATCAAAAAAGTTACAAGTGGGAACATAGTTGACCTAGAAAACTTGTTAACAATAAGGAACAAAAGGTAGATCAAATGAAAATATCAAATATTCAAGGGGATTTAGCTAACTCGTACTATACTGATTTCGAAAAATATACAATGACAACGTACGGTGCTGCGGTCCTATCATACTCTCTTTTTTCGCGGACTATGACTAGTGAGGTGGGCGGAGCCAAACTTGCTTTGGACTATAAACAGAGTCCAAAACAACTTAAAAAGCAAAGAAGCATGTCGAAACGAAAGGAACAGATCAATATTACGCTAGCTCCCCGTGTTTTAACCTGTTTGAATACGGTCAGCGTTCCCTTGGGTGTCTCGCCCCGCCCACCTCACTAGTCATAGTCCGCGAAAAAAGAGGGTAGATCAAGTGAGATGCTATTGAAATTAGTAAAAATTAGCTTATATTTTTCGTGAGACTATGGTAAGAATGGTCAAGTTAAGACTTGCCTTGATAAAAGGAAGACGTTAGAAAAGCGATACTGCGACTATTTTGCTGACAAAGGCTTGAAAGCTTCTCACGCCAGGCGTTTTGTGTACCCAGTTATTCAGAGGCAAATAAAATAAATAAGATATTCAAATAAAAATGAATAATATTAAAAAAAACGTTTTCTTCTCCTCGAGTAGTTGAGAAAAGAATTAACTGTTAGAAAAAAAAGATCTAAACAATGGTTTCTACGGAGTATTTCTAAACGCCTATAGAGAAGCCGGATACTCTTGATCTGCGCCGATCCGCATTGGCATCATGCAGCGCGGCTTCAGTGCGACAAAGCAGCACCAGCGACTGATGCTCCATTACCATA